TGACCACAGTTGTCGAATTTGATCATGGTCTTCCTTGCATGGTGATTTCCACTTCGAGCCTGCACGTGGTCAGTTTTTATGCCGTAGGACTCATCCTGAGTCACTTGAGGTACGGGGCGCTGCTTGTAGTTGCGCGCACGCTAAGGATAATGAGCGTATACATCACGTTCATCGTGCAGACGCTCTTGTTGGCCTTCAGGCTCGAATTCGTGACGTAAACCTTCAGACCGTTGGTCGAGTGTAGAGATCGCAACTTTACTCTCTTGGCGATCCTGGTACGAGGTAGCAGCTTGCCCACGAAACTTAGCAACAACCATCGCTAGGCAACGTTCTCCAACTCCGACGATTCGCGCAGATTCATGTTCTTGGCGCTGAAGAACTTGTTTACTTGGTGGACGTATAGATTAATGCTCTCCAATAGTTCGCCATGGTACTTGGGCATACATAGTCCCTCAACCTACATATCCAACTGACGAGGTGCATACTTCAACTCCAGCTGTTGTTGCATCAGCTCGTCGTGGGACTTCATGTACTTTGCTCGACTTTCCAAAGTACTTGAACCATTTGGGTTAATTGCGCAAAGACTTGCTCCATAGTCAGTGCTTGTTGCTGGGTAGTCACAATTGAATTGACTAAGTCGCTCATTAAATCGTATTCTTGAGCCGGTTTCTTGAGTTTATGCCGGTCGCGTGAGGTCTGCTGGACTCAACGTTCGAAATCCTCTTGTTTGCTGCTGCAATTTTTCTGTGCGGGAATTTTTGCTTGAACAGAGATTCTTGAAGTCCGGAAATGATTGCTGCAAGTGAACAAAGCAAGAAAGAAGACTTTTGTCAACCCCATATAGTTATCTATACAACGATAAGTCCAAGAAGCTCCATAAGTCTACGTCTCCTTCATCGTCGCTATCACTTGGAACACCAAGCCACTCCAATTCATGTCAAAATTCGCCCATCTTGATAGCTTGGCGAGTTTCTCGGTCCAACTCCTCACCCTAAAGTTCAGCCCTATGAACTTCCTTTTAATTTGAGCGCTTACGTCTTCCCCCGTGACCGTTACAAATTTGGTGGAGTTGCAGGGTATTTTCCTGCCGAAACGAGACTACAATTGGACACCGGAAGTCCAAACGATCCCTCTCTCGACCAGCCTCGCCTTGAACCTGACGGCTGTGAGATCCCTACGGGACGGAATGACCTGATGTCGTGGGCGTCAGTGCCGCTGGCGCGGGCTCACCGCGCGCACTGCAGAGCTAACGAGACTTGGATTACCGAATTCAACATCAAGCCAATTCACCCGAGCAACAAAGAAAACCCGAAAAGCGCAGACAAGGGGGCACTGACGCCTTCCTCATCGAAGAATCGATCGATGACCGTTCTATTCGAATCCTCGAGTCACGAAAAAGATCACTCGATCGATGACAGCGATGGATCCCTTGAGCCTCATAGCCCGTCGGAAGAAGTCGCTCCCCTTCGCCCAGACGACGGGGCAAGCACACCCGCGCTCTCGGAGAACGACCAAGTATTCGACGAGACTCTCAACTTCGGCTTGGGCGAAGGATCGGCCTCCATAGCGGCATCAAGCTTGTCAACTGCGCATGATTCGGGCACGGATTTCCGATTGAAAACCGCGTTCGAGCCTGAATTGATGGCACCTACGAAACCAGACGTGGGATTGTGGACCGTATCAGAATCCATACTTTTACCTTCGGATACAAGTTCTATAGTCAGTCGTCCAGCCGAAGAACTTCCTGGCTACGCGATGCAGCTAATCGCCCCTATTTGAACTCACGCAGCTAGCTGCCCTACACGTTTGTTGACACCTTTCATACCGGATACAAGTGCATTCAATCGCGGTGGTGTCGGTGTTGGAGGCGCCCGGCATCGAAGAGCGTGTTCTCTATAGTTTAGTACCATTCGACCGCCCACATGCGATCCAACATTTGACGCCGTGCCTAGAAACACCGCCTGCTTCGCCAGCCGACCCGACTGACCTGACCCTTACGACCCTGACTCTTGGGCTAACCATGACTTGAGCAGTGGTTTTATGGAAAGCGTGGCCCGCCAGGCTCCGCATGCCCCACCTACTCTTGCTTGGACAGCTAGTCCGAGTGACCAACTTGTTTTGGTCACCGATCGGTCCAAGGAGGGAGGTACCTGGCTTGCATTGCACTCATCTGTTGCGCTCCTACAACGTCAACATGGGTCCAATCGAGGAATGGCGACACCACGCCCTGACGAATTGTGAAACGGACGAGATGGAAGTTGAGGAAGAGCAGAATCCGTCTCGGTTGACCACCATTATGCCGGAAGTCTCCGACCGAATCCAGGCGTTACAAGACTGGACCATGGTGCACGAGCACGAAATGTCAAACCTCGCTCGCGAAACCACCGACCAACTCTCGACATTGCGTACCTCAAATGTTGACGATGACAACAGACTTGGCGATTTGGCGCGTCGCCTGTCGACCAGCGAGGACCTCATGTCGGTGGGCTTGTCGGGCACTCTTCGTCTGATTACGGAAAGGACGAGTCTCTTGAACGACGATCTGCTCGCAACCCGTTCAGAATTCACCACACAGCTATCGAATTTGCAAAAGATATGTTTCAACTTCGCCAGCAATATCCTAAGGCTGCCAGTCTGATTTCATTGTTGTGTCTGGAGATTCAACAATATCGTGACCACGAAACGCCTCGCGATCTGGTTGAAGCTGCGGTGAACTCACTAATGATAGCAATTTCAGATTTGGCGCATTCCTTGCAACAACAACTCGAGAGCGGACCCCAAGCCCAAGAAGTTCACATCTCGATCACACTTCTGAGCCTCTGCAATCGCGTCGAATCACTCGGACGCGACCTCAACCAAAGTGCCTCGAACCAGAAGCTGCACGTCGACGAATCCCGCCGACACATTGCTGCCCTCTAGGACTCGAATACCCAACTCCAAGAGCTTGTTGCAGATCTCTCGACCGAGAAGGGTTTCTTCCAGGACCGAATCCAGCTGCTCGAAACACGAATTGATCAGCAACAACTCAACTTTGCCTCCCGACTCGGCAAACTCAAATCAAAAGCCTCATCTGCGGACACTGCTCCATCCATACCAGCAGCAAGCCCCCAGCTTGAACAACCTGACGACCCTCCAACCTTTATTGCTGAACTTAAGTCAGCTATGTCTAAGATGACGACTGAGCTAGAGGCGTCAAGGACGCAGTACTGGCCTCCGAACATTCAAAATCGTTTGGAATTGCCGTGAAATACACCTCAGTCCCCACGTCCGACGAACAAGCCCAATGCGAATTCTTCATCAAGCAACTCCTGGACCAAGCGACTCGTTGTCAACTCAACAATGAAGAACGCGAGTTGCTCCTGGGGCTCAAACTCAGCGCTGACAAGGCCCACCCTAATCTGAACAAATGGTGGATTTCCTACTCCAAGACCAAGAACGGTGATGTCTGGACCGAAATCTTGGCCGGTTTTATGGACCAACGAATGCTATTGCCGCACGACGCGCGAGATGGTCGATCATCAGTTTGAAGAGTCCGTCGATTTGAAGGCGAATCTGTGCTGGCGTACGCCGTTAGACTCCAGACAATCTTGGACGAGATCGACATCTCGGCTCTTCAAGGCGTGACGATCTTCCAACGAGGCGTGCGGCACCCTCGAGTCGAAGCCTGCCTGGAAAACTCCGACAAAAAACTCCTATAGATTTCAGCGTGCATGAAGCTGCTTCGATATCGGCAAATTAGTCTGGACACCCACCGACTATCCGCGCATGGTGCGATCTGAGTCGGCCTCGACCACGGCGTCCACACTTTTGTCACCGCGCACGCCTCCCCGGTCTCCGAACACTCACCGGCATGGATCCAAGGTTGGATTCGAGGACCAGACTACTCTCGAAAAGCTCCTTACGACCTTGATGACGCAACAAATTAGGAGCAACAACAACAGCAGCAAGGGTTTGTTGCCCACATTGAAAAGGCTGACACAGTTCAGCAAGCTCTTCTAGAAGCTTTCATGAAGTCCAACGCCGCGTCTCGATTTGTTGCCCCAATCCAGCTGACTCAGCCGTCCCAATACGCAGCCTCCTACCCGATGACCTACGCACCCGTGCAAGCGCAGTCAGCCTCCACATCTGTCATGAGGGCGGTTGCTGACCAATTCGGTCAGCATGCGGGCTCAGCCAGGCTATGCTCTCTTCATGATCTCGACCAAACCTGACGACGTCACCACGAGTGGAGTGAAGGTATGTGGGCGTTGCGATCGCGCTGGACACGGATCGATTGACTCCCCTGCAAACACGTGCGCTGCAACCTTTGCCACGAATCTGGGCACTACGCTGGTGAGCACCATAAGATCTGCCACTACTGCGAGCTCCCCGGTCGCACGGAGTCGTGTTGCCCTTCAAAGGCCGAGCCCCACGCTTGAAAAGCCGGCGCCGTGACGAACTCGACAAACCCTACTGCTATCCGCCCTCAGCACGTCCATGAAGTGCTCGAGAACAGTGCATCCATAATTAGTTTCGCCTGTGTCGCTTCGGCTACCCCGACGAACGCAAATGCCAATGTGGAACTCTCGGCACACCCTCCAGACCCCAATTCGAGACCCAGCGAACGGACCTTGTCCTGACGCCCAAGCCTTGACAAGGTTATTACAAAGGCAAACCACACGGACAGGATCCGACACAAGCAGACGCGTACTTCGCATTCGCCCAAGTTGGAGTCTGTTTCAATGTCTGCCTCCTGCAACGAAACTACACCTTCTGTGCTGATGGACCGATCACCTACGCTCGACCATGTGTTGGACGCAAATATTACTACAGCGCGCCAGGTCTTTCCTGTGAAAGTCATTTCAGACCTGTTGTTGTCGCAGGCATGCGCACTTGTCCGCGGAACTTCATTAGGGTTTTGCGTAGAAGCTCGCGTTGCTCGATGCTAAGGCTGGATTCCGCCCAGTCGATGGGTAATTCCTTGGCTTGCGCTGTCGTCGTTTGTACCGGACAGGCAAGTTCAGGCCCCCAATTTGAGTGAGGATCCTCCTGGGTCCGGTGTCTGCGTCGAAAGCTATATCAAACTCGACGCAATCATCTGGAAGAGAGGTCCAAGTACCCAAGGTAGTCTGCGCAGGTAGGTGGATAGGCGTGTCTAATGGGTTCATAACCTCCAACAGTATCGTACATTCCGGCGTCGTACGGTACAGAGCTGCTGTAGACTGAAGTGAAGCAGCGGTTAAGGGCTCCATCAAGAAGGTGGAGTTGTTTGGTAGGCCCAGCCCAGCTGTGCAAGGGATTCATTTTACTGAACGGACCAGTACGGTAACAGCAGCCGAAACAATGGACATACCACTGGGGTGAGGGTCCAACACAGAATCCGGTATCTGATTAAGTAACATGATGTGGTCGCCATCTTGTAGAGACAGCGCATTGTTGCCCAGATTGATAACGGCTCCCGAGTAACGTTGCAAGTCTATGAATGACATGCAGTGCGATTGGGACACGTATCTGCCCCTACTCCTGATTGCCTACCGCAGTCACACCAAGAAACCCTTGGGGATTCGCCATCCTTCTGTCTATTTGGACGCAACCCCACGCTACCCCTCGACTTTAGCGTTCCTCAACGTGGATATGGCCTGGAAGTCCGATGATCTGCCACAATATAAACGACACCTCGCCGAACCGTGGAAGGAAACTTGCTCACTGGTAGAGCAGCAACTCAGTGCGGGAACGCGAAGGCCAAGTCCGGCCAAAAGCCTGTCGATTATGACGATCAAAGCGGTCTATATGTGCAAATATTTCGCCAATCGAGCGACCGAAATGACCACCGGACCTGCAAACTACTCAGCAGTGATGAACTTTCCACTTACAGTAAACGTCTTTCGCAGCTGGCGTTTCATCTACTTTGCTGGCAATAGAAAAACTTCATATTGCACTGTCACGATTCGTTTGAGCCAGCCGCCATCCGTAAGAGCGTTGTCGTGTTGGGCCGGTTTGAAATTTGTCAGCTGCTTCATCATTTTTTCCAGCGACGGTGGGAACAATCCAGTGCTGAAAAACTACTCGTGATGGATGATGACTTTGCTGACATGCTCCAAAATTTGCACGCAATGGAAACGGCACGTTGCTTGCTGACATTGGGGTGTACTCCCGTCTACATGTCGTTAGTAAACTTGGCTCGTATCGCTTTCTTGAAGGGCTGGAACACAGATACGTCCTGAGGCTAGAACAAGTGCCTCGAATTTGCAGGCAGAAACTTAAGCAAAATGCGAAGTCTTTAAGCTTCACCATATTTGAACTCGGAATAATGAGAAGAACATCTGTCCAAAAATAATAATACCGGCCGCAAAGTTGATGCCTGATTTCGTCGTTGAGAATAGTAAGCTACTTTCGACAGATGAACTAGTTGCTCCATCCCTTCTACGACTAGTAACCCATGTACCAAGTGGCGATACGTTGTCGCACACATCAGTTGTCACCCTATCTCCCGGAAGGATGAGAAGTGGCGGAATTTTGACAGCGATCACACTGACACGACTGTAACGTGAGACGAGGCCGTTGACTCTTCGACGTAAAAAATGGTACTTTAATTCTTTAACAACGACTGTCAGCTTTGTTGGGTGTTAAGCTTGTTTCGTTCATGTTGAAAACGCGTGAGGGGTCCAGATCGACGAGCGACAAAGCACGCAACAGTGTGATTGAAGCCCAAACCGCGTCGTCGTTGACAGCGTTACGTGTCTTGCTGAGGGTGCTTGACTTTGGACCCTCAGCTCCTCATGCCTACCAATGGAGCGTTGGTACTACCCAGCTGTCACGCTGGAGGGATGCGAATTTCCTTGAACAATATCGAGAATGCTGTTGGCATTGTTCATGATGTGGCTGCGAAGACAGGGTGAGCGTCTTGCTCCATCTCAAGGATCTACATGACAAAGTTCATTTCTTGCGCCGGTGGCATGATTGGTGCTGGGCCATGGACTTGACCACATTGCCTGAACTCTTGATCTTTGTGATGTGGTATAGCTGCGTACTTTAAGGGATGCCATACAGGGAACTACGTAAAAATGTCCCCAGTGTACTGTTGCGTCAGTTGAAAACTAGAGTGTTGCGTCAAAATTATTGACGCAGCACAATTGACGTCAGAACTGACGCCATACAAAAACCAAATGAATTAAATCCAGGTGTTTCCTACGTGTTTAGAAAACATACCGTGCCCAGCCACCAAAAGCAACGGCATCACACACACGACATTCCATGACAAGCACCGGCGACATCACGCACGAAGTGGTCGAGAGTGCATGCCACTTATTCAGCATCCCTTGTGTTTCAAGCGTTCGTAACTTCAGGGGTCAGTCGTCTGGGTTCTGCCTTGATACTGTGTTGGTCCAAGCGTCAACGGTGGATGAAGTGGTGGACAGCAATCTGTCAAATTGCAATGCGCCACCTGCAACGTGAAGTCATACTCCAGCACTCGACAGACACACAATCACATCGCATCCCAACATGGTCACCTCTGACTGCGCCGACAACAAGTTGCATTGACCGCTTCGTGCTCATGTACCCACCGAACAAGAAGACGCAAGATGTTGCAAGCTTGACGACACAAATTCTACAACGTTGGATGGGGAAGGACGTAT